ACTGTCCTTGCTACAGTTTCTGATTGGTACAGATTCCGATTAATTCAGGTTCTGATTAGTACAGCTTTTCATTCAGGTTCTGACTGGTGCAGATTCTGATTAATTCACGTTTCTGATTGGTACAGATTCTAATTAATTCCGGTTCTGACTGGTACCGATTCTGATTAATTCAGGTTCTGAGTGGTACAGATTCTGATAAATTCTGGGTCTGACTGATGCATGTTCTGATTGAATTAAGTTCTCAATCAGAAAGCTTGAGCAGTTTCTGATTGATGCAGGAACTGATTAATTCAGGTTCTGATTGGTGTAGGCTCTGAGTAATGAAAGTTCTGATTGGTGTAGACTCTGATTAGTGAAGATTCTGATTGGTTCTAGTTTTGGTTGGTTCAGGTGCTGATAATTATTGAAGGTTATGTTTAGGACTGGTTCTGATTGGTACAGGTTGTAGTTGGTGAGGGTTCTGATTGGTGAGGGTCTAGTTCGTGAGGGTTGTCACTGGTGCAGGTTCTTCATGGGGAAGGTTCTGACTATAGAGTTTGATTGGGTCTAGTTCGTGAGGGTTGTCACGGGTGCAGGTTCTTCATGGGGAAGGTTTTGACTAGTAGAGGTTCTGATTGGGATAGACGCAGGATGTAGTTTTTGCAGTTTCTAATTGGTACAGCTTCAGAGTGATGTAGGTTTTGATTATTGCAGGTTCTGATGGGTGCAGGTTGTAATTGCTGAGCATACTGTCTTCTGCAAACTCTGATTGGTTGGTTCAGATTCTGATTAGTGGAGGTTCTGTTTGGTATAGGTTCTAATTAGTGGAGTTTCTGATTGAGTCTGGCTCTGATTGGAGCAAATTAAACTGAATGCGTCGGATACATATAGCGGAGTGCACTCAGATGAGAGAGAGAGAGAGAGAGAGAGAGAGAGAGAGAGAGAGAGAGAGAGAGAGAGAGAGGCAGGTAGCAAGGGTGAGAGAGAGGAGAGAGTTAGAAGGAGAAAGAAACAAGGAGAGAAAGATGACGAGAATAAAAGGAAGTGAGAAATACATAAGAATAGAGACGAGAGAGAGAGTGAGAGAGATGAGAGAGGATGAGAAGGAGAGAGAGAGAGAGAGAGGAGAGAGAGAGAGAGAGAGAGAGAGAGAGAGAGAGAGGTGCGAAAGACAGCATTCACAGAATCGACTTAAATTTAACCTCCCATCAAAAACAGATGATATTGCTACGGTGATTAACCTCTCTATTCAGATTTTTTTTAATCTCCCTCTTTCTCACTTCCTATTATCTTAATTTTTTCCCTCTCCCTACCTCTCCCTTCCATAAATATTTTTTTCCCTCCCATCCTCTCCATTTCTCTTTTCTCTCCCTCATCTCCTCGACATAAAAATTATTTCCCCATATAGTTCGTCAGCAACTGTTTTATCCTGTCGTTGACAGCACTGAAAAAAATTTGAGGCGGACCTGCTCTCTCTCTTTTTCTCTATCTCTCTCCCTCTTTCTCTCTATTTTCTTTTTTTCACAGGGTTTGACAAGGTTAGGTTAAGGATCCGTAACTTTCTCTATCTCTCTCACATACACAAAGGGATACTAGGAAGTATTCTTCAGCCTTAGATTAGTCAGGAAGTGGAACAATCTGGAGAGTGAAATAGTAGAAGCAGCATTCACGCACAGCTTTAAGAAGAGGTACAACAAGGCTCTTGGTGTAAGGAGAGAGTGGATTTAGTAGCGATTAGTGAAGTGGCGGGCCCAGGAGCTGTGAATCGCCCCTGCAACCACATATTGGTGAATACACACACAATAATAATAAAAATAATAACAATAATAATAAAAATAATAATAATAATAATAATAATAATAATAATAATAATAGCAAGAGTAAGCAACGTACTCATGAAACTAAAAAGATTGGATAATTATGAGAAAGAAAAGAGTGAAAGAGAGTATGAGGAGAGTGAGAGAAGGCCAGTTGTCAAAGTGACATTGATGAACTCTCAACCTCTCCTCACCTTCCAAGTGGCTCTCTCTCTCTCTTTTCAGGGTAGGTGTCATTGCTGTTATTTTAGGTGTTAACTAACTATACATTTCATAACGCTGTCAAAGATATTGATGTCTGGTGTCAATGCTACCTGCCGATAGATTCTTGTGATTGCTTTACTCACGCTTTCTCGTAGTGAACTTCAGTCAGTGTTTATAGTGTGTGGAATACCGTCAGATGAGGCGGGTTAGGCTCCGTGTTAACAATATCACCAGTTTGAGCGCTAAACCCGTAAGGGTGGCAATACGCTACACCGGGTTATGTTCCAAGTCTTGACCAAGTCTGGTGTCACGTTCAAGAAGAATCCCTGCGGACCGCCATTTCATATTAGCGATTCGACCCAGTCATAGCCTGGTTAACTGGGCCATTTTAAAGCCTATCAACACACGAGGGTCTTAAGGCTGCATGTCGCCTGTTCACCACCAATTAGGAATTCTTTGATCTAAGTGTATATACATACTGAGATTTTGGAAGAAATCACAATAAAACGCGTATTGCAGCTACGAAAAAAAATACTAGTGAAAATGGGAAATAAAACCGAAGCGATTTCATGTGCTTACACATATATCTTCCTCTGAAGATGTGTGTAAGCACATGAAAGCACTCAGGTTTTATTTCCTATTTTTCAATGTGGTATTTTTTATACTGAGATTCATATCCCTCCATGTATACATACACTTTTTTATCTCAGTGTAAACACATAAGAGACTCATCAGAATATACACAAAATGCCAGTCATACATCCTCCAAAGTATTTAACTTATAAACTGAATGTCTCTCGTGATAGTTCTATCTTTTTCTAAGATAATAAATAGTTAATTAAAATGCTTTTAGGCTTCAATTTTTGCATGAGGTCCTCAAGTATACCTCCTCCACTCCAGCGAGTACATACTTACATCTTTGTGACGTTCCTAATAATTTTAGTGCTAAATTGTCTGGATCTTTGTGATCTTTAAATCTGTTCCAGTACTTTTATCTCGCCTGCCTCTGAATGCAACCGTCAACACTGGACAGTACTCCAGGCGAGAGAGCACAGGCAGTATTTGTAAAATTTTGATCAGAAAAATTACCACCGACACGCGGGGGAGTTAACCCCCGAAACCCTTTCCAGGTGAACCCAATCAACTTAGCCGTACACAAGTGTAAATGCCTCAGGGAATCCAACTGCCACCCACCTCACATTTTTGACATATATACTGTATATGAAAACTGGAGAGCAAGAAAACCAGGTTTCTGAAAGTCCTCATTATTCACCAAGTCATTTTCCTGGTCATCGTGGCGTTGACCTTATTGTGTTCTTAGAGAGAAAGGTCAGCTGACATTATTATACCCAGATCTTTCACTCTTTCCTTTCGTCCTGTTTGGTAATCTTCTTGTGTTTTGTTTACAGTGTCTATCTTAAGTACTTGTCGCCAGTGAAGTTCGGCATTTACTAGCTTATTTTTGAACTGATGGGAAGTGTTATCAGAACATTTTGTAAACAAGAACAGTGACAAGATTTCATGTAAAATTTTGTAAAATTCTTACATAAAAAAAATTTACTTCCAATGGCTGCAGTACATTTTTATTTGTAGTAATAAATATAGAAATGAACCTTCATAAATATTTAATTTAATGGGAGTGCGTGTATATTCTTTGCATAGCAAGATTTTCTAGGCCCGTTGCATGACATTGGCCTCCTGCCCACTTTCTTTGGCCTCTGCCCTTTCCACCAGACCTTGTTCCGTCTCCTTGGCTCCCTCTTCCTTCTGTTTCCCTTTTACACCCGAGTTTCCAGTCCCCTCCCGTCCCACGGCGTGTGTAAACATGAGGTAAGTCACTGTGGTGACACAAGAGGACGCCACTGACTGGCTTGCCATTAGGTAGAGTGCTTCTGTTTGCCTGTCTGTATGTTTGCCTGTCTGTATGTTTGTCTGTCTGTCTGTCTGTCTGTCTGTCTGTCTGTCTGTCTCTCTCTCTCTCTCTCTCTCTCTCTCTCTCTCTCTCTCTCTCTCTCTCTCACTCAACACTAGTCCTGAACTGACCCATCATTGGGGCTACCTGTATGCGGCTGAAGTGTTCTTGATCTTAATTAGAGATACCCATCTCCTTCCTCGAATCAAACCTGATTACCTCACACTTTCCCAACCTTAAGGGCTTAGCACTTTCCCATGAATGCAATAATAATAATAATTACAAACGAACTGTAATTCATAAATACAAAATGAAATAATTTCTGAGTTAACCTCAATGTAACGCAGTGCCAGGACTCTGCAGATCATTTTTATATATTCGTATATATTTCTACATTCTGAGTAATTTATTTTTGACTGGGAGGGGGATCAGTAAGCCAGTGGAAGGTCTCGATGTATCTCTAAAAGTTCAATTGGTCATGTGACTAAAACAAGCCACGAGAGAAATGTTTGTTTCTGATTCTCCTGACAAAGAAAACACTACCAGCGTATAATATATATAATATGTATATATTATATATATATATATATATATATATATATATATATATATATATATATATATATATATATATATATATATATAAGCCTGGCCCATGGACGGGCTCCGAGAGTAGTGAAACTCTCGAAACTCTTCAAAGGTATATCAGAGGTAAAGGTACCTGTCTCCTGTGAACTTATTGCATACTTTGTGTGCGTCTCTAAATGTGTATACAGTGAAAAGTGTACATCTTAGTATATAAACTAAAAGATGTCCATCTTCCAGTGCATATACTCACTCAGACTTTATTTAAACAGAAAGGTCTCCATGTTTCAGTAAATCCACACTGAGACTTTACTATTTTAGATAGTCAAGTACTCTTCTTCGAGTATAAACGAAATCCAGCATTAAAAATCCCTCGTTCAGTCGACAGACTTTAAAATCAAACAACTAGAACCAACATCATGATTCAGAGTGCAAGGAATTATTAGCAAAATTCTGCATTAAAACTCAGAAAGCTAAGTATTTCTTTTGTATCTTCCTGACAGTGGCCAGCCCGCCGGAGACGAAGAAGGAGACACAAGATGAAGCGGCTCCACCACCTCCACCTTCAAACAAGAATGGACAACTATCTAGTGAGTTGGAATCTGAACTGTAATGAGTTAGAGCCTGATTTGTAGTGAGTTGGAACTTGAACTGTAGTGAGGTGGAATCTGAATTGTAGTTAGAACCTGAACCGTAGCGAGTTAGAACCTGAACTGTAGTGAGTTCGAACTGTCAATATCTACATGATACAGTGGATGACACTTTGATACAGTGGAATCCTCTCGTTAAACCTATGGCGTACCGTCACCAAAATAATAAAAGTATCTGGGTGCTTCTAGTATATTACAGACTGACCTTTTATATATATTTTTTTTTTTTACACCTGTGACTTTCTCCGTAACTTTCAAACTTTTTTTTTTTTTTTTTAATTTTTGGAAGTGAGTCAATTATTCGTATCTACGAGCATTTGGGCACCACCTTATCCCAAGTCGAGAATTATACTTCCCTAGGGAAAAGATTTCTCCTCTAAAATACGGAAATGCTCAATGTATATACACTTCACTGCGTATATACCCTCCGCTGAGTTTACCTAAATTAGACTTTTCAGTGCACCAAGCATGAGATCAGTCACATGTTACCCTCTAAAATAGGGAAAAGGTCAGGGTATATACAACTCATAACATATATACCCTTAAAATTAACTATAAGTCCACGTAATCGTTAAGAAAGGGATCCACGTGTATGCGAGTTTAATGTATTAATTCTAGTAAGTGTTGGTATACCGAGAGTATGGCTGTTCAGAGATAGTTATAGCAGAGCAAGGTTTTACTTGAACATCGTTTCGCTTACCCGTGAGTGAAACGATGCCCAGTAAGACATGTACCGAGGGGGGGGGGAAGGTCAGGACATCCCCAGATTACTGAGGGGGGTGAAGGCCAGGACATCCCCAGATTACTGAGGGGAGGGGGAGGTCAGGGCATTGCCAGATAATCCAGATTCCACGGCAAACTACACCATCACCAAGGACCTACACGGAATGGGACGGACAACGACACCCTTTCCCCAGCCTAGGTGATAGAAGCTCAGAGGGGAAGACCCCCAAAGACTGAAAGCAGGAAAGGATGGAGAGGAAAGGGATGGGGAATGGAGGAGGAATGGGAGAGGAGGGATGGGAAGGATGGGGCAGGAAAGGGAGGAATGGGGGTAATTAGATTCGGTGGAAGGAAGAAAGCCGAGAGGTCCAATTCCTCAGACCAAAAGCCTCTCACCGCTTCAAGGAGCTTCTCTTGAAGAGGTCTAGCCTCTGTAGACTACGGTTGAGACACTTCCTAATTGTACATGCGTAGTTTGTATTTTGTTTAAGATAAAAGAGAGTGTGTTTGATTAATTTGTGTCCTGGGGTATATTGCAAGGGCTCACACTCAAATTTTATTTTCATGGTATTAATAGCTATTTATTCTATCTATGACTTTGCTCGCTCTCTCCTCTCTCTCTCTCTCTCTCTCTCTCTCTCTCTCACGAGTGTGGTCATAACTCTCCCACAGAACAAGGCTCTCTCACCATCCTGCGTCGGTCCAATAGCCGGAGCCATGCGGGCAGGACGGGTCGACTCTCCTCGCAGGCCGACAACGACACGCTCGACGCTATCGACCTCCACCACGACGCTCTCCCTGCCGTCGATACTCCGGAGTCGTGCGAGAAGGCCGCTCTCAGGTGTGTCACTCCGTCCTTAAAATCAGTGCTTGAAGTTCTTTATCTACTGAGTAAATGTTTGCGTGTTCCTTTAAATCTACTTCTGTAAATGTATGTACACCTTTGTAAACGTATACGCATTTCTGTAAACGTATGTGAGCCTCTGAAGACGTATGTGAGCCTCTGCAAACGTTTGTGCACATTTGTAAATGTATGTGCACATCTGTCAATGTATGTGTACCTCTGTAGAGGTAGGTGTTCCTCTGTAAACATATGTGTACCTCTGCAGACGTAGGTGTTACTATGCAAATGTATGTATACATTTGTCAGTGTAATGTACATATGTAAATGTATGTGCACATCTGTAAATATATGTGTACATATGTAAATGTGTACATCTGTAAATGTATAACTCTCTAAATGTTTGTGCACATCTGTAAATGTGCACCTCTGCAAATATGTTTCTCTCTAAATGTGTTCATGCCTTTGTAAATATATGTGGGCTTTTGCAAATGTTTATGCACCTCCGGCACAGGTGAGATTCCAGTCACTAAAAACAACGGATATATAGCCCCACTTCATAAAGGTGGCAGCAAAGCAATAGCTAAGAACTATAGACAAATTGCTCTAACGTACCACATCATAAAAATCTTTGAAAGAGTTCTAAGAAGTAGAATTGCAAACCACTTGGATTCCCAACAACTGCACAATCGAGAGCAACATAGGTTCAGAGCAGGTCGTTCCTGCCTCTCGCAACTACTGGACCACTATGATATGGTCTTGGATTCACTGGAAAACAAACAAAATGGAGATGTTGTATACACAGATTTTGCAAAAGCCTTCGACAATTGCGATCGTGGTGTAATAGCACAAAAAGTGTGCTAAAGATTGCACCGTATCATCCTTTGCAGACGATACTAGGATCTGCATGAGAGTGTCATCCATTGAGGACACGCAAGCTCCAAGAAGATATAAACCAAGTTTTCCAATGGGCAACGGAGAACAATATGATGTTCAATGAAGACATATTCCAACTTCTCCGTTATGGAAAACTGGAGGAAATAATAGCTAGAACTGAGTATACTACAAATTTTAATCACACTATATAGCGGAAAAGTAATGTGAATGACCTGGGAGTGGTAATCTCAGAGGATCTCACCTTCAAGGATCACAACAATGTCACTATCACATCTGCGAGGAAAAATAATAGGATGGATAATGAGAACATTTAAGACAAGAGTTGCCAAGCCAATGATGATCCTTTTTAAATCACTTGTTCTCTCTAGGCTGGAATACTTATGTACATTAACATCACCATTCAAGGCAGGTGAAATTGCAGATCTAGTGAATGTATAGAGAACCTTTACTGCACATATCAGTTCCATCAAACACCATAACTACTGGGAACGCTTGGAAGCACATGACTTGTACTCATTGAAGCGCAGGCAAGAGAGATACATCATAATCTACACTTGAATGATCCTGGAGGGACTGGTCCCTAATCTGCACACAGAAATCACTCCCTACGAAAGCAAAAGACTTGGCAGGCGATGCAACATACTCCCAATGAAAAGCAGGGGCACCATTAGTACACTAAGAGAAAATACAATAAGTGTCCGGGGCTCAAGACTGTTCAACAGCCTCCCACCAGCCATAAGGGGAATTACCAATAGACCCTTGATTGTCTTCAATAGGGAGCTGGACAGATACCTAAAGTCAGTGGCGGATCAGCCGAGTTGTTGTTCGCACGTTAGACTACATGCGGCCAGCAGTAACTGCCTAGTTGATCAGGCCTGATCCATCCGGAGGCCTGGTCGTCGACCGGGCCGCGGGGGCGTTGATCCCCGGAATACCCTCCAAGTAGACTTCAGGTAGGTAGACCTCTGTAAATGTATGTGTGTCTCTGTAAATGTGTGTACCTATGTCAATGTCAGTGTATGTGCACATCTGTAAATGTATGTGTACATATGTAAATATATGTGACTAAATTAATGCTGCCTTCATAAATGTTTGTGCCCTATGTAAATGAATGCATGTAAATGTGTGTACTTTTATAATTGTATGCATAGTTCTGTCAGTGTATGAGATGCACGAGTGACTATGTAAATGTATGTGCACGTCTGTACATGTATGTGGATCTCTGTAAATGTATGTGTACATATGTATGTATACCTACGTAAATGTATGTATACCTATGTAAATATATATGTAACTATGTAAATGTATATGTACCTCTGGAAATGAGGCATTGACTTAAATGTATACTCAGCCAGAATCCAGAATATGGTATAATCACCCAGAGCTAGTGAGGGACTGACCACCAGACCCGGGTGTAAGTATAAAGTCAATTAGTATGGAGTTCAACTCCTCACCTGATCGGTTGATGTTAATTACTGGTGGTTTATCCTCGGTATAGGCGTGGGCTCCCAATGCCTTTGATGACAATAGCCAATGGCCTTTTGGACGATTATAGAAGAAATGCACTGATACACTCGGTGCACGTCACAATATCTCTCTCTATATATATACAAACCTTCATATCCATTGAATATACTGCATATATTTCATATGCGGCGCAGTAGGTTCAAAGCCTATTGACTGCCACTCAGACGTACGTAAACCTCTCGAGGTATATTCCTTTGTTAACGTAGCACGGTTTGCACTCTATGAGACGATTACGAAACAGTAAATCTCATTATCTTATGTAAATTGTCAGTTCAAAGTAGAATTCTCCTGTGAGTGGAGGGGACTGTTCACATTTTGTTTGTGTAAGGGATCTCTGATGTGCCAACGTATGAAGCAGCTGGAGATGTTAGGTAGCTTCAGCTGTTCTATATGAGTGAGAGAAACGTGCTACAACTGGGTATCTTAATGGATGAAACGTTTAGCCTGCTCTGCACGCTTCTTCAGTCAAATATATATGCGGCACTCACAGACAGAATAGCATTAGCGATATTCACCAGACTAGCAGAGGCAAATAAGGTCTATATAAATCTGAACAAAAAATCCTTCAAAATACTATTAATTACTTATGAAGACCTATACCCGAGTATCCAGCTCCAGTAGCAGACGCCTGCTGAGCAGACTAAACGTTACGACCATAATGATACCCAACTGTTGTGTCTTGCTCATCTACCTGTCCGTTTTGTTATAATGATCATGTATTGTGTTACAGATTACGGAGCCTGCTGCGCCACCTACAGGAGGGGGAAGTGGCGGCCTCGGTACTCCAGCAGAACTTGCAGTACGCTGCCGACGTCCTCGATTCCATCTACGTGGACGAGGCCAAGTGCGTATGCCATTCCCGATGCTTCTCTCCCTCTGTCTATCTCCCACTTTCCTTCCCTCTCTCTCTCCTTCTCTTTACCAACATCTCCAGCATCTTTTTATAGAGCACCGTTTTCTATGCCACTTCATTTAAATGTTAATATTCTCTAAATCTCCAGGTAAATGTTACGAGTAACGTCTATAGAGTCTCTGAGAATTTATCTACAGTTTAATGTAGTTACGTTCACAGAATCATTCCAGGTTTAGCTAACCATATTCCAGTATTCAATACTGGCGACCAGAAGGCATTAGTAATAGTCCAGGTTCCCTGACTAGCATCGCATAGATAGTTATTAGAAATCGATAATGAAAAGAGTGGAGGATTTTGAGAAAACTGACATAATACATCAGCAATGGTTGAGGAATGAATAAAATCCTGCCTCACTAGTCTAAGAGAGACTGATGGAAATAAAGCAAGGAAGAAACGAGCAGTTAGGTTAGATTAGGCAAGATTCATCAGGAAACAGTGCAAGTGTTTCCTGGTCATCTGACCGATACCTTCCACTGGCTTAAAGGTCCATCCATTTAAAAAATATAGTTATGATTATGACCAATAGATTATGAAAAAAATATAAAAAAACGAGTGGGTAAGCATCACCCATGGTGTTCCCAAGGCTCGTTCCCAGGTCTTGAACTGATGCTGCCATAAATCGTTGGCCTACTAGATCAGAAGATACGAAGGAAATACAAAGGATTGCTGCAGAAAAGTATGGAATGGATTAAACTGATTACAAAAAAAATACAAATAGTATTTACTGGACATTATCCTCAGCAAAGGTAAAGAATTAGGTGGCTCTCACAACCGGGTTAAGAGCGAAGGATCCAGGTTCATTTGCGTGAAAGTCGAAGCAAAGTGCAAATCTAACATCTGTTGTCCCTGTTCACCTAATAGTAAATTGGTACCTGGGTGTTAGTCGACTGTCGTGTGTCGCACCCTGGGGTAGTAGGAATTATTATAATCAAATACAGAGCTAAACCGACAAGGGTTATGCAGCGCTCCGGGGCAGAAAAAGTAGAATGAAACATTATATACAGATGAGCTTTAAAATGAGATGAGGTTTGGTAGCAGTTTTAAATCTTGCCTTTAAATTTTGCACTAATTTCTAGGTGAACAACTCGGAATAACGAAACGAAAGACAATGTCTTCCAGCTCTCACGAAAGCAGAATAACATTAGCAGTGTACACCAGACTAGCAAAGGGAAGTAAGGTCTAAACAAATCCGAACCAAAAAACTTTCAAAACACTATTGATTACACATATAAGACCGATCACCGAGTATCCTGCTCCAGTATGGAGCTCTCAGCTGGTAAATTATATATATGTAAGACGCTAGAGAAAGTACAGAGATTTGCCATTAAGCTGATACCTTTTAAAAGAAAAAAAATAAATACAGAATGAAATTTACATGTCACTTAAAGACTGGAACAGAGAAAGGATAATAACAGCTATTACGAACACAGTTGGTAGTCTAAAGACGTGCAGTACCAGGTCGTAATTAAGTCAACAAACACTCGGTAAGCAGATCAAGGGCAAGGCAAAACAGCATGAGTAGATTTCTTTAACCTTGTATCCCATCATCAATACATACACTATGTACAATATTAATAATTAGAGAAAAAGTCAGACTGAAATGGTACAATTCAGAGCCACTCAAAGCAGGAGTGGTCACGACCAGTGTATGCAGAAGTCTGCCACTCAGTCAGGTAAGCTGAAGTGACATCACCTTGGCTGAAGTAGCCGGCTTCCACATGACTGGCGGGTTGAACTGGACAATAAGCGCAGTAGTGGGGCCCCTAGAACTGCTACACTCTGAATTGCCAGTTCACTGGTCGAAAGGCCATGCTAAATGGTTGTGTGACGAACGTCGAATAAAATGTAACATACTCGGCGTACGCCACAATACCTTACAAAATACCTGGAGCAGAAGTACTTTAAACAGAGATAGGTTTCTGAGTAAGCGAGAGACCTTGACGCCAGGACACAGAAGAAAGGTGAACACTTATTCACTGTTAAACACCTTCATTCACTGTTAAACATGTAAAGAATGACAGTCATATTACCAGGGAGGGAAGCATAGAAAAAGTGATACAAATGTAAACTGAACATCCAGCCCAGCCGCTCAGATATGAAATATTTCATCAATACAAAGGTATCAAAATAAGTAAAGGAGCTAAACAAAGGCACCGTAAAAGCTGATACAACGCAGGTTGTAGCTAATTAATGACAGTCCATCAAAAGTTAAAAGGCAGGCTTAAGAGCTAAGGCCAATGTTACAAATCCAAATAGGTAATTACCTCTCTCTCTCTCTCTCTCTCTCTCTCTCTCTCTCTCACACACACACACACACACACACACACAAATTTTGAAGACAAGAATCACAAAAATAATATTCCTGGTGATATGAAAAATAATAAGAAAAGAAATGAGCAGCACAGGATGAGTATCCTTGATGATCAGAAATTAGGATGAGTATCCCTGATGATCAAAAATTAGGATGAGTATCCCTGATGATCAAAAATTAGGATGAGTATCCCTGATGATCAAAAATTAGGATGAGTATCTCCTGATGCTAAAAAATATAGCGACAAATGAAGTATCCTGATGATCAAAAATTAGGATGAGTATCCCTGATGATAAAAAATTAGGATGAGTATCCCTGATGAAAAATTAGGATGAGTATCCCTGATGATCAAAAATTAGGATGAGTACTCTGATGTCAAAATTGATAGTACCGATATCAAAATTAAGGAATGATGAAATGCCGGATCAAAATTAGGATGATTCCCTGATGATAAAAATTAGGATGAGTTCCAGATGAAACAAATAGGCAGAGTATCCGATAAAAAATTAGGATATACCTGATGATCAAAATTAGGAGTATCCTGATGATCAGAATCACTAGGACTGAAGACTGAAACTTGACACGGATATCAAGGATTACAGGCAAGTACTGTAATTGGTCGACAAGGGTTACAGTAGCATGGTATACATGTTCCACAACCAATAGAGGCCACGAAGGGCGCGAAGAAATAAAACAACAGCAATTTATCTATGTAAAGGCAATGGGAGAGAAAAAAGAAGAGAAGCTAAGTACGAGAACTTGGGATCGTAAGGAGAGAGGGAGAACTAGACCTCCTGGCAAGAACAACCTAGAAAACCCTAAAGAGAAGAGAGAGAAGAGAGAGAGAGAGAGAAGAGAGAGAGAGGAGAGAGAGAGAGAGAGAGAGAGCGCCATCAAGTGAAGTTTATTACTGGGAACCAGTGAATGGCAGCAATCATACCATAGTAGCTAGATAGTTACTTTACAAGTAGGAAAAATCAGTAAATTCTATTTACTTATTGGTAACATTTTCTGGCTGGTTAGTGAATTTAAATACTAAACTTACATATCTATGAATATAAGTATTTATGAATATGCTTTGGAAAATATATATACATAAAATGACTTTAGTGTACTTTTCTCTTTCAAATTTATTGTTTCCATTACTTATAAATGTATTATATAAATAGGCTACGCAGTACCTATTTCTATTTTTTTTACCTATTTTTTGGATAGTTTGTTGGTTTGGTTAGGGCGAACCACTCAGTTTCCTATTTTTTTCAACAATGACTCAAAGTTTGGCCAAATTCTCAATGGTATTTTGAGTAGGATGTTTTTTTGACCCACGTTTACTACCCTTAAGGCCTTTTTTGAGCACTGCAGTTGAAGCAGTGAGTTAGTGTGCTGGTAAGTCGGTCTCTAAAGTAGTGTATGCTCCTTCTGCACGTCTCTCAAACTTCCTCAGTAAACGTATATTTGTCTAAGTTACCTGTAGATGTCTCACTCTGTCTCCCGGGAGGAGCACAGATCGAGGTACACCGTCCTTTCTCTTTGCTACTTAATAAAGACGTAGAATAAAGTGTTTTTTTTTTTTTACCTAAAGAAAAAGCAAATCCCTCCCAAAGCGCCCCACCTGTTTTTTCATAAAATTCTTGACACTTTCAAAGCATCCCTTAAATTTCAGTAGAAAGTTTTAGTAACCTTTTTTTCATGAATCTTGCCAGTTACTTCGCTTGAACTTTTCCCCTCTTTCTTTGCTGCACACTGCACCAGTGCTGAGATGGAACTAATTTCTTATGCACGGTCCTCCGCGTGCACCGCCTGACACATCCTCTTGCATCATCTCGAGTTGGACAATATGTATCTGGTGTATTTGGCTTTGTGCTATCTAGCTTCCATATTATGATTCTCTGCCACACAATTTTCGCCATGTTCTTGCAGATTCTGACTCTAATACTCTGATTCATTCTCTTTCTTTTCTTCTTCCTAACCCGTATCCTCCCGTTGCCTAATTTTTTCTACTGTTTATGGTTGGCACTTTACTTCACCACCTTAATGAACATTCTGTTATATATTTATATTCTGCTTCCTATGCTTTTTTTTTTAATTAAGCCTTCGTTTTTTTCCCAATCTTTCTCTCACTGTTTATTTCTCTCTCTTTTTAATCTCTCTCCTGTTTCCCTCCTTCACTGCCTCCCCCCCCCTCCTGTTCCTCCTGCACACCACCTCTCCCTCACCTCTCCCTGGCTCCCGTTTCTCCAGCAGGTGCGTGCCTCCGCCACAGGACCGAGCAATAACCATCAGTCTTGAACCCCCTACCACCAAGGGCCGACGTTCCCCCAGCGGTCCAGGCGCGGCTTCCAGGTTACCGAAATTACCAGTTTCCCTCTCTTAAGGTTTTCTTTTCCTTTTTATTTCCTTGTTCCAGCTGTAGTTTCAAGCACTGAAATATTTTTAATCGTATTTATGTTTCTAAGCTGAATCATTAATCTACTTCCCCTCCCATCTTTCTCTCCCAACATCCCCCTCCCTCGCAACTACCACCTACCCTCAATCCTCCTCGTCCTCCTCCCCCCTCCCCCTCATTGTTTTGATCTTACCTGTCTCTGGGACAATTAACGTGCTGGTTTGTTTTCACCTGTACAGGGTTACAAGTGAGCATCATTATCTGCTCTACCTTGATGCTGTTACTAATGATACTTGTCTCCAGAAGTTTATTTGTAGTGTTTAATTTCTTGTTTGTTTGACTCGTATGAAAATCATCCACTCTCCTTTTCAATCTGTATATTCTGACGTCATAAATTGTTTTCCAGCATTAATTAGTAACTCTTAAAGTGAACTTTCCTCTCGCTAATACGCTAATTGACAAGTGATTGGAAATACTAATTTTTTTCGGTTATTAGACCGAAGTTTCTTTTGTATGTATACGTGTAATAACCGTGCTCGTTTTATTTACACTGTGTTTTATAATTGTTTTATTCACCCTTGACTAGATATAGTAATTCAACTAATACTGGGAACATCAAGTGACACTGTAATCTTAAATCATTAGCTTTTAGTGATAATGTTGCCCTTGAGTTATTAAGACTTGCGCATACATTTACAATCAATTTATCGAGTTAACGCATAAGTTTCTGAACGTTCTCTTAATATTAAAAATAAATAATTATATTTATCTGAGGGAAGCAATATTATATATATATATATATATATATATTATATATATATATATATATATATATATATATATATATATATATATATATATATATAAAATGTCGTACCGAACAGGTAAAAATTGGTCAATTAGCAAGAAGTTATTTCTAAAATTTTCTCTTATACGTTCAAAGATATATTTTTTTATTTATATTAATGTAAAAAACAAAAATTTTGTACCAAAAGAATCTTAGAAAACGTCCCTAACCTTATTATAACAAGCGCAATTTTATTTAGCCTAATCCAACTAAAATATATTTTACATAAGTTTACAGTAATTTAAAAATAAACAAACACAATGAAATACATATTTTCCGTTAGGTTCAGAATGATTTTTCGGAAATTATTGAATACAGAAACATTTGCTTACCATATTCGGCAAGACATACATATATATATATATATATATATATATATATATTATATATATATATATATATAATATATATATATATATATATATATATATATATATATATATGTGTATATATATGTATATATATATATATAATATATAATATATAATATATATATAATATATATATATAATATATAATATATATATATATAAATATATATAATATATATATATAATATTAATATATAATATATATATATATATAATATATATATATTTTATAATATATAATATTATATATATAATATATAATATATAATTGTGGTAGGGGACTTGAATGCTAAAGTAGGAGAAACTTTTAGAGAGGGTGTGGTAGGTAAGTTTGGGGTGCCAGGTGTAAATGATAATGGGAGCCCTTTGATTGAACTTTGTATAGAAAGGGGTTTAGTTATAGGTAATACATATTTTAAGAAAAAGAGGATAAATAAGTATACACGATATGATGTAGGGCGAAATGACAGTAGTTTTTGGATTATGTATTGGTAGATAAAAGACTGTTGAGTAGACTTCAGGATGTACATGTTTATAGAGGGGCCACAGATATATCAGATCACTTTCTAGTTGTAGCTACACTGAGAGTAAAAGGTAGATGGGATACAAGAGAATAGAAGCATCAGGGAAGAGAGAGGTGAAGGTTTATAAACTAAAAGAGGAGGCAGTTAGGGTAAGATATAAACAGCTATTGGAGGATAGATGGGCTAATGAGAGCATAGGCAATGGGGTCGAAGAGGTATGGGGTAGGTTTAAAAATGTAGTGTTAGAGTGTTCAGCAGAAGTTTGTGGTTACAGGAAAGTGGGTGCAGGAGGGAAGAGGAGCGATTGGTGGAATGATGATGTAAAGAGAGTAGTAAGGGAGAAAAAGTTAGCATATGAGAAGTTTTTACAAAGTAGAAGTGATGCAAGGAGGGAAGAGTATATGGAGAAAAAGAGAGAGGTTAAGAGAGTGGTGAAGCAATGTAAAAGAGAGCAAATGAGAGAGTGGGTGAGATGTTATCAACAAATTTTGTTGAAAATAAGAAAAAGTTTTGGAGTGAGATTAACAAGTTAAGAAAGCCTAGAGATACAAATGGATTTGTCAGTTAAAAATAGGAGAGGAGAGTTATTAAATGGAGAGTTAGAGGTATTGGGAAGATGGAAGGAATATTTTGAGGAATTGTTAAATGTTGATGAAGATAGGGAAGCTGTGATTTCGTGTATAGGGCAAGGAGGAATAACATCTTGTAGGAGTGAGGAAGAGCCAGTTGTGAGTGTGGGGGAAGTTCGTGAGGCAGTAGGTAAAATGAAAGGGGGTAAGGCAGCCGGGATTGATGGGATAAAGATAGAAATTTTTAAAAGCAGGGGGGGATTATTTTTGGAGGGGTTGGTGCAATTGTTTAAAAATGTAGGGAAGGGGGAAAGGTCCCTAGGGATTGCAGAGACATGCATATTTCCCTTTGTAAAAAGGAAAAGGGAATAAAAAGAGAGTGCAAAAAATTTGGGGGGAAAGTCTGTTGAGTGTCCGGGAAAAGTGTAGGTGAGTTAAAATTTGAAAGAATTAAAGTAAGAGGAAAATGGGATAGCGAGAACAAGGGGCTTTGGAAAGGTAGGGGGTGTGTGGACCGGTGTTTACGTGAAACAAATAAGTAAAACAGTATTTAGAAAGGCAAAAGAGGTCTTTTGGCATTTATGGTTTGGAAAGGCGTATGACAGGGTGGATAGGGGGGCAAGTGGCAGATGTTGCAAGTGTAGGGTGTAGGGGGGTTATAAAGCAGTAAAGAGTTTTTCGGGAAGTGGGCTAATTTTAGAGTATGTAGGAAAGGGGGAAAATTTTTTTTCCCAGTAAAAGTAGGCCTTAGACAAGGATGGTTGATGTACCGGGTTGTTTAATTTTTATAGAGGGGGTTGTAAGAGAATAAATGCGGGGGTCTTGGCAAGAGGCGTGGAGTTAAAAGATAAAGAATCACACACAAAGGGGGAGTTGTCACGTGCTCTTTGGGGATGACACTGTGCTCTTGGGAGATTCTGAAGAAAGTTGCAGAGTTGGTGGTGAATTTGGTAGGGTGTGCAAAAAAAGAAAATTAAGGTAATACAGGAAAGGTAAGGTTATGAGGATAACAAAAAGATTAGGGAGAAAAAATTTAATTCAGATTGGGGGAGAGGTATGGAGGAGGTGAACGTTTCAGATATTTGGGGAGTGGACGTGTCACGGAGGGTCTTTTGAAAGATGAGGTGAAAATAGAAAATTGAGAGGGAAAAAGAGTGAGTGGTGCACTTAGGAGTCTGTGGAGACAAAGAACTTTGTCCCTTTGGGGGCAAAGAGGGGAAGATGAGAGTAAGTTTACCAAAGTCTTTAAATTTGGGGGAAGCGGGGGTGTGAAAGTTGCAGGAGGAGAAGGGTGGAGGCTGGAGATGTATGTCTGAGGGCAATGTGTGGTGTGAAAAAAGCAGAGAATTCTTTTAGTTTGGAAAAGTTAGGAGGGGTGCGGGATTCCCAAAAAACTGTTGTCAGAGGGTGAGGAAGGGTTGTTTGAGGTGGTTCGGCATGTAGAGAAAATGGGCGAAACAGAATACTTCAAAGTGTATCGTTGTAGGGGAAGGAAAGGGCGGGGTGGGGGTCGGCCTAGGAAGGGTTGGGGGAGGGGGTAAAAGGAGGTTTTTGTGCGGGGGGTTGGCTTCCCAGCGGGGATGCTTGAGCGTGTTTGAAGGAGTGAATGGAGACAAAGGGTTTTTTAATATTTGACGTGTGTTGGGTTGAGCAAAGTAACTTTTATGGGGTTGGGGAAAGGGCAGGCGGATTGAGCCGGGATGGGAGTACAGTGCCTGCACCTGAGGCGGGGTGTTAATGTGCAGTTTAAAACTGTAGTGTAAAGCACCTTCTGGCAAGACAGTGATGGAGTGAATGATGGTGAAGTTTTTCTTTTCGGGCCCCCTGCCTTGGTGGGAATCGGCCCGGTGTGATAATAAAAAAAATATAATATATATACTAATATATATATATATATTATAATATTTATATACATATTATATATTTATAGAAAAAAATTGGGGAAGTACCACCTCTTGGCTGGATGGGGACCCTCACCTCAGAGAAGACAATAGCGTCCCTCAAGAAAACTAAAGGGTTCCCCGGATTTTTGAATTTTTTTTCTCTACCCCCCCTATATATTTTATTTTCTAGTGAACTTTATAATAAAAAAATACATTCAGAAAAAACATAACATGAATACATTGGACAATGTATCAAAGATGATGAATTTCCCCAGCTCCTCCGAGGCTGGACGTGACCCAAGTATGCAGCAAGCATTTCCCTCTGGATGGCGACGCTGAGGCGCGGACATGAAAGTGGTTTGCCCTTGGGCCCCGGGGTGTCGATGAGTCTGGACCCATTCTTTAAGGAAAGTGTGGCATTTTTTCCCCATGATTCCCAAGTCTCTGATCCCACGGGGCCCAAATGTCTGTTGGCTAAGTCCCTTACTGCGATCTTGTACTCCCCCCCGTGGTCAGCAGCTCCTCCCTGTGCCCCACAGTGATGGATATAGGGTCAGCCAGGTTGACACACAGGTATAGTCCCATGCTAAGAGCTTGCCATTCTTCAAGGATAGATGGTGATCCCCGCGGCGGTTCCCCGGGGTTTGGGGTATTGTTTGCTGCAAGTGATCGTGGCTCCCTCTCGGCAGGGCATCCGCTGTAGCAAGGGTTCTTATGATGTCTTTGACTTCATTGTGTTTTGCATGCCACCCCTTTGGGTTTTGGGAACAGTTAAGCCCAGTAGAACCGTTTGG